TATATATATTACAGATTTAGGGTATGGTAGCAATAGCTCTGACAAGCTACTATCTGACAATGTCTATTCCGTTGATGTCCCCAAATGCTTGTCGATGACTGGACCTCATCGGATTGACTGTTTGTGGTGTTCATCTCCGAGTGCGTTTGGCTGTCTTTCGTATAATAAGACCCTGTCAGATAGACAATACTGAATTTAGCCATGCCGTCATTTGATCAGCTGCATATTGCGTCAACCGCAAAGTCTTGCTGCACGCTATACTTGGCACGCCGACATGTCGTAAACTGTGACATCGCTTCACAGATTTGTCTATGAAAAAAGCAAAATGAGTCTATTGAACGATATGTTTTCTTCAAGTTGTGGACAGCACCTTAGCGAATGCATTTATACAACGTTCCAAATCGTCATCAAGCGTCGGGTCATCCTTTATGTTCGTTTCTAGAATCTCTTTCCACTATTCAACTTTGAAGAGTGACCTATTACAAATTTGTGAAACTAACTTACTGCTCGAATTGACGTAAGCAGCCAAATTCATACAATACATCTTCCACTCTCTGCTCAGACTTCAGTTTCCACTTATATTTGTCTTCGTGCAATGCATCTGTTAGATGTTCCCCTCCCCATGGGATTGAAAGACCTTCTAATATTATCTCCTCCTTGTTATATCTTCCCACTTCATTCAATATATCAAGGCTTCTATTGATGTGAGTGCGTTTCACTGTCATGTATAAAATTAAATACATATCATGCAAGACTGTGCTCACGTTCTTCCGCTCATGGATTATCTCTTCCCAATAATTCTGCAAAGCTTTGTTTTGACGTTCAGATTCTACATGTTACAGAGAAATAGGATGGTAAGTAATTTTGGTTGGCACCAAGTCTCAACAATTTCAAGTAAAAAAAAGGAATTATTATTGCAATGATGAGAGCCCAGAATGTCAACTGATGCTCTAGGAGCATCCTTCATTAACTAAATAAATAAAGAAATAGGCACCCTCCAAATATTCAAAATTACATGGGTTGAGCTCTTATTACTTTTTCTCAAAACCAAGTGCCATCAAGGCCACCAATCATCTGACAACGGGGTGAAGCCACAATAACATCATGGATGGTGAAGTGTTAGAAACTCTTGGTATGACCAGTTGAAAGATTTAGAAACTGTGGAAGACATTCAGATCATGTACTAGTACAGAAAACTATAGTTTGTACAGAAGGAACTTACCTTCATGGCCAGGATAACGTTTGCATGAAGGTTGAAAACAGATTACAGTGGCACCTCCATAAGTGCACCCTCCATAAATGCACACCCCCACTGTAGCCCGGTTCAAGCTTGGGACTTAGTATTAGAGCTAAGTGTACACCCTCCATATTCTACGCGTGCAAGAGATTTTGAGTCCCACACGTGAAATTTCAAAAAGTCATCCAATTTAAATCGTCGCGATTTCAATCAATAAATACACAATAGCGCAATGGTAGTTTACTCATAAATCTGCATCGCTACTACTATTACTATGAAACAATATAACTCCGAAATTTAGTCACAGTTTCCAAATTAAACAGACAGAAGATAAAGAAATAGAGAGAAGTATTTAACTTTATTACGGAGTACACAGGCAAACTCGATAAGTCGGTCTATTATGCATGACCGACTTATCAAGTTTGCCTGTGTATTGAACGAATTAATACGCTAACATTAGTGCATATTTTCTTAAAGTATGGCTTGATTTAGAATGTGATCGCTAAATTCGGAAATTTCGATGATAGGTTGATACACCAACATGCTTATAATAAAACACTCTTTTTTCCAACAAAAAAAATCTCAGTTTGAAACATTCCTATAATTTGTACGCTCACATGGCGAGTTTTGTACTATAGGAGAAATTCAGGTGACGATTTTCGTGTATCAACCTTTTTGCACCGGACCATACTAAAGTGCAACAATCTCTGGTTTTCTATTCGTTATTCTATAAGTGCACACCCTCCCTAAGTGCTGAGAAGCTGCATTCGAGTATGGCATTAATAAATAAGATTCTTAATATGCTGTGCGCATGCCTGGTTGTACACAAATGTCATTATCGGTGAACAGTATATTCGGATAAATGTTGATAATATCAAATATGAAGTAAAAATATTACGACTTGTCGCTCGGTCTGCACTAAAATAAATTATTTATTCGGAGCTTTAATTCATCTGTCAACAAACCTCAAACAATGATTAATGGCCAAACTTAAATATCCAAACCAAACCGTTTTTATATACGTTAAATTGGAATTGCAAACATTTTTCTTGTTTAGGATAGAGTATTATAACTTCTAGCGTTAATTTATAAGCATAAGGTTACTGCTTAATTTCTTTTGTTTCGCTCTACCAATCTGATTCATCTAATTCCGTGTGCTATTTTTGTCATTCGATATTTTTATAAATCTATCTTATATACCATAAAAATATAACTGTTACCTAAAATCTAAAAAGATTATACCATTGGTGAATGCAAAGTAATTAATATACTTTGGCAGATGATATGTAAAAAGAATATAATATAGGTTGTTCATGTGCTGTAGTAAGAGATATAAATGTGTCAATAAGGCTATGATATGATATTGCTACTTCAGTACGTCTAATTATAAGAACAATATTATGTAACGTAAAATAGACGTTTGCATTGCAACACAGGGGTGAATGGATAACCATTTATTCCACTAGAATTACTTATTTATGTTATTATTTAAGATATTAATCTGCGCCAACCCGCTTGGGAAATAATTATGCTTAGAACACATATTAATATTGGCATACACGATGCAGGATAATGTGATGTACTCAACTAGCGTCTTATGATAGGCGCTTATTCTTGTTAAGCCGTGATAAGCCGTGATAACTAAACATAGCAATAAGTGCTTAATAAAGGATACACAATATTATAATAGTAAGCACATGGGGTATAAACCTTGGCGGAGTACGATGACGTTGGACCAAGGCAAATGGCACTGCATAAGGTAACCATTGCACAAAATATGTGCGGGCCGGAATGCTTTTTGTTTCATAATGACGTTGGCTAAACATTATTAATAATATAACAATTTATATGTCTATAACGAGTGGAAAGTTATTGTTGATAGTCAGCAATGTCTTTATCATTATTGTATTTTTTCATTTGCGTTTGTTAGTGAACAATTACTAAATCATTAGGTTATTTGTAAATGACTTCTAAATGATGAAATATAAGCATGAGCCGATTGTTTGTTGCCCCAAAATAATCCTTTAGTGGGCATTACTAATAAAGTGCATACGTGCGCAAATCTTCAAAAATAGCCTTTTTGTAAGACAAAAACTTGCGTGATATTTCCAGTCGGCACTTGGCTCCTTTTCTCTGTAGATTAGAACATTGTGTCACTCTGACGCAGCACTAAAAAGAAAGGGCTATGCTTGAGAGTTATGAAGTTAACATCATTGATTTGAGATAGTAAGTGACTAAATCATTTCCACCCTCCAGTCATTCTTATCATAGAAACGAATCATAATAAAGTGATAGATCTTCTTTAATCCTCATATGCCTGAACATACGATTTCTACTGAACACAGAACTTGACTTGATTATATTACTTGTGTTACACATATCCCCTGTCGATCAAACTTGTTATTATTATCACAAGCTTACCTGTCAGTCATTTAAATGAGTTGGTTCAACGTCATGCAACGCTAGATCATCGCATATTACTGTATTATGCATTGACATCTGTAATCATATATTATACGATATCAATCAAACACGCACCAATCATATACACACCCAACGCTTACCCACGCTTCGTTTTTCAACTTGCTTATTTCCTGGTCGCCTGACCTGGTCATTGTTTATACTATTGATCCTGTCATTTCCTGAACTCCAAATTCGGTACGTAAAAAGAAACAAAATCAGGTTTACACTACATGCGAATGCAATCCAAGTCTTTAATGAGCATGACAATAGGAATTTCCTCGAGGATTGTTCATAATATTAATATTTCCTTTTTTTAAATAAAAAACAATCAAGTAATTGTAAAGGATACATGAGTTATTGTAATATAAGTCAATAGATTTAGTAGGCGATCAAAATAATTCCAACAACAGATAAAACGGATCGCCAGGGAATTGTGCGACATGTAAATGACTACGATTGCGTATGTTACACGGGCTCTGTTAATATTATTCCGAAAACTGGTAAGGCGAGTAAACAAATCCTATTTGAGCATAGACTAAATTTATTGAATTGATATGTGTAAAATACTCATTGAAGCTTTTCGTAAGAAGATATTTGTGCCCAAAAAAAAAAGTTGATGAACAGCAAGTTTGTTTGACTTATAATCAGCAGTGTGAATAAACCTATGGGCAAAGGTTTTTGAAAAAGCATGCTCAACAAACAGACGGTTTAAACAACACCTACCAGTTTGTTGTATAATATATGCTATGCCTTTGTTATTATAGAATTAGTTATTCCTGTTAAAGAACTTATTTCGTATGTATTATGTAATTTGAACAACTGTTTATGTAAGTTTATCCGAACAATTAAAATCATAAATGTTGCCGTGTGGCTGATTTGCATCAATTATACATTTCGAATTATTTAGTAATACACGATCATTATAAACTAAGCATTGTTAATAGAATAACAAAGCAGCCTTGTTACACTGCATGGGCAGCGCTCTTTACATGCTTATACTGTATGCAACGCTCTTTACACGCTCACACTGCATGCAACACTCACACTGCATGCGCAACACGCTCATACTGCATGCAACGCTTTCTGCTAATAATCTTGAAAATGTTTGTGTACCAAAAAATATAATTAGGGCTTAATTAGCGTGAGATTTAATACTAAAAATAAAAAAAATTGTACTTACTTGAAATTGATTGATTTTTATCGAGCCAGTAAATGACTATCTCTACTTTGCCGCATAATTGAAATGTTACACAGCATTTTATATAAAAAGGTAATGTATATCGCTTTTCGAACCATAACCATGGATAAATTACCTGCGGAAGTCAAAGTAGAAATTACAAGTTACGTGCAAAATCCTTCCTCTCTTGCGCGATGCTCGCGTGAATGGTACAGCGTAGTAAATTCGCCACATACAAAATATAGATGGCTACTCAACAAGTATGGTCGTGTTCATGCTTTGTTTCACGCTGTAAGAATCGGTGAACCATTCCTCAACCTTGACGTGGCCGAGCTTGTGCTAAAAAATTCTCGTATCAGCCGGTACCTTGTTCAACGACTCAAACTTGTTTATGGAAACCACTGTCTGTGGGGTAGCAATATTTCCAACAATGTATACGAACGGATTATCAATTTTAAGGAAGGATACGAAAACGACAACCACAATGACATCCATTCAATCCGTCGAGTGTTAAAAAAAGGAGGAAGCGAAGACGATATCAAAACCATAATTGAAGTTTATGGTTTCACTCCTTTTCCGCCCAAGCCAACCTTTCGAACATATATATTCGAAAATTCTGCTAAATATATAGACAATCTTCCCCAAAACGGTTATGCAACCGCCTCTGAATTGAAGATCGTGGCAAAGGCAATAATTACTTATCCAAGTTTGTTGAATGTCTGGAGAAAAATTGGTTACCATGAAATTATCACGGATTTGGAGAACCCTATGGTGCAACTCACCCTGCTAGATCTTTATTCTACCGGTGTTCCTTCAGGACAAGCAGTTGCTGAAAAACTATGCAACTTACAATCAATTGGATTTTCACTGACTGACACTCTGATTGGAAATGCTATCCTTCTATTCAAAGGGAGGTTAGTCGGCGTCGGAAAGAGTCTTATTGAGGGTTTTTCAATTGCTCGAAAATTATCCAAGGGAGACATACTTGATATATGCTTGATAGAATTGCTTAATCCGGCAAGAATTCTTGAACAATACGATGCACTGGATTATATCATCAACTCGATTAACGATCCCCAAAAGCAGATTCTCTCTGTATTTGAAAAGTATAAAATTGTCGAAGATGAAAATAACCCACTTACCCAATCTCGTATGTTCCTTAAATACTCACTTGTAGTGTATCGATACATGTTAAGGTTTGGTGCAAAGTCTCCAGTGGTTAGATATTTGATGAAAGAAATTATAATTGTTCATACGTGGCTCACCGATACAGAGGATATAGACAAATTGAGAGATGCAGATACTATCCTTGACGAATATTATGCCGCAAATGTACCTTTCGATCGATCACTTTTACCGCTGTTCAAAAAATGGTCACGCGCAAAACCGATTGGCTATTTATTTGAAGGATATCTACCAGCACTATTCGGATCATTTATGACATTCCAAATTCCAGAAGTAGATGTACTCCCGTCATTCACACAAACGGAAGAGTTGCAGCGACTTTGGCTGAAAGACGTTAAAAATTGTATCCAATCTGAGGAATTAGTAAATGAAGAGTTTAAAACGCAGGCAACAGAGTTTTGTTACTCTTTATTATTTAATGCGCCGGCCGTTGTTTTGATTACTGAGCAACTTTATTAAGTCAGTCCGTAAATTTGTAGACACATATTTCTAGATTAACTATGAGTTTCTATACATTTCAAGACTATTACGGAAATATTTTTAAGGGGTTTTTGTATTCTATGACAACACATTATATTATTAATAAGGGTAATTATGCAGGAAATATGTTTGGTTAATTGTCTTTTCATGTACAGTGCCTATTCATGTCATCAATAAATATTTTGGTAGTTTAATTTTTAAACGACTTATCTAATATTTCAGCTTGGATGTAGTAAGACACCGCGTGGTATGTTTACTTACGTTTTTATCGTACCACTGTTAATTTTTGTGATTCTTATTGCACAGCCAAGGCGTGACACAGCGCGTAGGACAGTTAACAATAACTTCAATCACAACGTTTTAGCAAAATGCGGTTAGTATGTTTTTGGGGTAAAACCGCCATTTAACTCCTAACAAGCACCTGGATTTTGTGTCGCATGACTGAATGTGTCGTCCCACTCTATTAAATTAACTAAAGATATGCATTACGCTTTGGTTGCAAAATGCAGGGGCGGTATGAAATCTCATCTTGACCTGCAGATTGTGTTCGGTATTGCAGGCCTTTTATGTGGTCAATTAGAGCACATATAATATACATAATGCAGGGTGTTATGTAACATATGATTTTGGTAGAGCGAGTAAAGGTGTCACAAAAAATTATTTGGAAATAGCATGTTTGCGTAGACTGCTTATTTGGAAATACGCTTAATTTCCGCCTCTTTGGATTACAATCTCAAACTTATTATTTCCGGATTATTCAAGGTTTTATTAGCACAATAAGTGCATGAAAAAACGCAGCACGTCAAGCAGATAATCTCAATATAGTAGAATATTTGCTTGTTCAGAAAGCCGATCTTGTGGTACTCGGATTTGGTAATGCAAATGGAAGACTTGTTGATTTATACAATGAAAAACTGATTGACTCTGGTCACAAAATGAAATATCAAATTCAAAACTCGTCCATTTCTCCTAGACACAGGCTCCGCTATCTGCATATTGCTCAATTTGGAAATGCCATACCTTATTTGAGCGTAGCTAAAACTTTGTCAATATTATACAGGCGAAAATACTTATCAAAGTCTTTGCTATTGTTCGTAAGAAGTTTACGTATTATTGTTTAACAGAGCTTTGGGCCTAGGAAGAAATGGTGACGAACAACAAGTTTTGCGAGTATACATATTCAAATATGAAACAGCTAAACAACACATATCAGTATATGATAGAACAATTCGGTCCTAATAATTCTATCATAATCATCATAGACGCAGAAATTGTTCCTGTTTATTTCGTATGCATTACATAATACAAGCTTATCTAAACAATTAAATTATAACATGTTGCTATTGCTATGTTGGGCTGACAATAAATCAGATGATGCATCGAGTAGTAAAATTAATTTTCGAACAAAAGAAATAAGAAACTTTTTTATTTCTTTTCTTGGGAAATTAACGATCTCATACATTATTAAATTTAATGAGAGGAAGCGATAATTAAATGTGTTACACACAACTGAATAAACCCCCTTTTTCTGTAACAACAGATAAACGTATTTGCACAGATTTCATACAAAGTGAATGACTGATGTATACCAAAACGCCGATACTAAAAATAAATGCTGCAAGTCATTGATTGGTGCGATAAATGGCTAAATCATACGATTGTTATTATCTCGTCAGCTGTGTGAGAGATTGTCTACCCAAAAATTCAATACAAATTACGAAAAAAAGTTCTCAGAGCATGTACTCATGCAGTGCTCCACACATGTAAAAATGAGCAAATAACAACAAGATATTATTCAGATCAAGTTCCCACTAGTGTACATCTGATACCATCACTCTTACACATTACCTCAGTTTTATTGACTGTTCACTTTGAATGTTGCTTGCATATTGTGATATATTAAATACCTGCATATGCGACGTCAGTTTTGCATCCAGGTTTCTTCATTGTTATTACCGACGTGCATCTCTCCAAACTTAGGCAGCAGTGAGCGGGTAGCTTCTGCGCCCGCCAGCCAAGAGCAATTGCCAGCAGTCACAATTTGTTTAATTTTATTTTGGCTTCTTCGAGCCACATCACCAGCCGCAAATAAGCCAGGAACAGTCGTCGAACAATCATTTTTAATAGCAATATACTTTTCTCTATCACAAACACCTAATTTATGAGTAAAACTGCTAAATGGTGAGAAGGATGGTTTGGAACGAATTGCCACGGCAAACTCTATTACATACCGCAACATTCGTTTTTTTGTTGATTATTTGTCATACTTTGCTGGACAGTGCAAGAGCTTTCAAAAATTTCCTTATTGTATACCTTCTAACAGTGACATTAACCCGTGTGATACTATGATACTATGTCCACCAATTTCCTCATACAGTGAGACCTCCCTAAGTGCAACCCTTAAGTGCATTAACGCTGGGCCCACGATGGGACCTATGGATTTAGTTGCACGTTCTTTATTTCATGATTGCATGCTAGTTCTCGGCCCATCTATAATTTTGCATTCTATTACACTTTCTTAAATGCACGTCATGTGATTAGATCTTTATACGATAATAATAAATTTTTTCACGTTAAATCTGACATTGACATGGCCAATATAAACCTTAATAATGAACAGAAAGTTGCATTAATTACATACAAAAATAAGAAACCAAACTCGACCTTGCCAAGTAGATAAAGCAATCATATAACCTAGTCGCAAGCGAAAAGTAGATGACATTGTTGGGAATAGTTCTGTAAAGAGTCAAAAAACTGTTTGATATCCAGAATTAAAGAACGCATTACTAGAATGGATCCTTCAAAGCCAAAACAAAATTATATTGACAGATAATATTTGTTTAGAAAAAGCAAAGATTTTTGCTCAGATGTTGAATATTCCTTTAAATTCTCTAATGGTTGGCTATTTTAAATTTAAACGAAAACATGGTGAGGGTGCTTTTGCAGATCATGCTGCTGCTGTTGCAGTCACAGAGTTGTTGAAGGACTATAATTTAAAAGACATTTATAATATGAATGAAACAATTTTATTTTACCGATATGCGTGTAATTAAATTATGATGATAGTATATTGCAGCCATTAATTTTGTTTTTATATTAAGTCTTGAAACAAACACCACCTTAGCAACAACTCGTCTCAAAGAAAAGAAGAAAGATAAGACGACTGACATTGGCGCTATGTTTGGCAATGCAGACGGGTCTGATAAAATGAAGCCATTGGTTATTGGTAAGTATGCGAAGCCGCGTTGCTTCAAACATTAGTACCCTTGGCATTACTTATGAATCAACTCCTAAAGTGTGGATGACTGAATTATTATTTCAATCATGGATTTCACATACGGAAGAAGATGGATGTAAGAATACATCAACTATTCAGAAGAGAATGAGACAGAGGAAATACCAACTGATCAAGAAATGAATTGGTAGAGTTGTATTTTGCACAACAAAACATAAGTAATATCGACTAGTTAGAGCATGACAAAGTATTATCATCATTACGTAGAATTTAGAAAATATTCATCAAGAGTTGATTCCTTCCTGGTACAGAAACGGTTTTTATTGTTGTAAGAATATCTATCGAATCTTGTATTTAGTTCGTTGTTTATAGTGTGGATACGGATAGCTAGTACAGTCTATCGATTACAGTCGATAATTTTGTTTAGGATAGTTTTATTACCTCTCTTCCATTTTTACATATTAGTATAGTAATATTGAATATAGTAGTTATACCAGACGATGAGCAACGATCTCCTTGATTGCTCGGATTGATTTATGCATTAGAGCAGAGACAATGACGATTACAGTTAGCATAAATTTCGCAATATTATTGGCTATCTTCACATCGTAACATGATTGTAAGTGCACGCGTAGTAAGAAAATAATCACGTGCGTGTTCCAATACATAATAGCCTTTCATCCTTTTTTACTTATCCCACGCTTGGCTTGGAATCATGATGACAAATATTACCTGTAGAACTCAAAGTAGAAATTGCAAGTTACGTGAAACTTCCTTTCTTTATTGGATGCTGTTCGCGTGATCGGCACAAAATAGTAAATTCGCCACATACAAAACATAGATGGCTCCTCAATAAATACGGTCGTATTTATGCATTGTTTCATGCTGTAAGAATTGTGAACCATTACTCAACTTTGAAGTGGCAAAACTTCTATTAAAGAATACTCATATCAATTGACACTTTGTTCAACGTCTCAAAATTGGTTATGGAAAACGCGGTCTGTGGAGTAGCAATATCTCCAACGATGTATACAAGTGTATTCTTAACTATAAAGCGGAATATGCAAGCAGCAACTATGATGATATGCAGTTAATCCGTCAAGTATGAGAGGGAACGAGAAAAGAAGACGATATCAAAACAATAATTGAAACTTACGGCCTCACGCCTTTTTCGCCCAATATCATTTTCAGAACGAAAATCCTGCTGAACATGAAGATTATCTGTTACGCGACAGCTTTTGAATTGAAGATTTGGCCGAGGTGATTATAACTTATCCAAATTTACTGAATGTCTGGAGTATAATGGGATAACCGAGGATTTGGAAAATCCTGTTGTACTACTCACCTCTACTATACTTTACTCAACCGGCGCTGAAAAGCTATGCGATTTACAATTAATTGGATTTCCACTGACTGACACTCTGATTGAAACGAGTCTTATTGAGGGCTTTTCTATTTCTCGGAAAATGTCCAGGACGGGTGAAATGTGCTTGCTACCTTTGTTTGATCCGTCAAGAAATATTGAACAAAATGATGCACTAGATTATGTTATCAACTCGTTAACGAACCCGATAAGCAAATTTTTCCGCATTTGAAAAGTGCAGTATTGTCGAAGGTGACAACTAATAAGGAAATAAAAGAGGCAGAGGAATAACTTAAATACTCACTTGTAGTATATCGATACATGTTAAGGTTACGGTGCAAAGTCTCTGGTTGTTGGATACTTGATGAAAAAAATAGTAATGGTGAATACATAGATGACCAATACAGAAGATTTTAGATGAACTGGGATATGCAGCCACTATTATTGACGAACATTGTGCCGCAGATGTACCTTTTGAATGATCGCTTTTACCACTGTTCAAAAAATGTCCCGCGCAAAATCAATCAGCTACCTATTTAAAGGATATCTGGCAAATTTGAGGTCCAACATCAATCTTTTTCGGCGTTCCCAATTTCCAGAAGTAGATGTACTTACGTCAACAGAAGAGTTGCAGTGACTTGGAAGGCATTCAAAAATGTATCCAAAGAGTTAGCAAATAACGAACTTAGAAATTACAGAGTTTGCTCATTACAATTTGCCGCACAGTAGTTTTAACTATTATTAGCAGTTTTTTTGATACGGGTTTTGGAAGTTACAGTGTGTCTCAAGAAAGATGTTGGTAACAAATTTATGGTTTTCCACAACCATATAACATAAATCGATTAAGGTCTCTACAAAGACAAACTTCTAAATTACTTTCTTATTATAGAAACTGGCAATAATAATAATCAAAAAATGTAGTAAAGCAAACTTGCACATATAAATGTTGTGTCTGAGTTGTGGTACCTGTCTCAGTTAGGAACCCAGTCACTCAATCCAGAATTCAGTTGTCTCAGTCCGGAACTCAGACACTCAGTCTAGAACTGAGACAGGTCCCCAACTGAGGTGCAACATAAACACGCTCAATAGAAAGCTAATAGCTATAAATAATTGTATTTGTTTCTTATTTCTGAGTCTTGTGCGATTATTATGGGAATGCTATAAAAGGGTTATGTATTACAAGTGCAATACATTACTAGTATCAAACTCTAGTTCCGCATCAATATGTGCCCCCAAGTGTTATTAGCGCGATTGATTTAATCAGGATGGATGAAACTAGAAGAATGGACGACAATACTATTGGATAGCCATTACATAAAGTCATGTTTATAATTTTTTTAATATTCCTGAATGTATGTCAACAAGTGCCAAGATTGGAGATAAAGAGCTGCGTCGGTTATAATCAATAATATTGATGGTATCATTCTCTTCCTCAGGACTTATTATATGCGATACAAACTATTGACGCATGCTTGATTATGTTCATATTCGATAAATATTGAATTAGCGGTATTATATTTTGTTTCTTGCCCTATTCACCTATTCATTACTGGAGCATCGAGTTAAACAATAATTACAATCAGTACCAGCAATCATTAGCTTTCATCGTAGTTTTGTATGAGAACCTGCGGATTGCATATTATTGTCTATCACATCGGTACTACACTATTATAATGAATTGTTCATTCAGAGCTTCAATTCCATCTGTTAACCAAGTTTAATCAAAGAAATTACAATGATTTGATTAATGTACAGGCTCAAATATCCCGACCCAATTCGTTTATGTATAATTCACATTGCTATATATATAATAGAGAATTAACATTTATAAATATTATTTTAAGATACTCGGCCGGCACCGACGGTTTGAAATGGCTCCTGGAAATATTATGCTTAATTTTTTATGGGACAATCAAAAAACGTACTACTTCCTAGCTAGTGTGATGCTTGTGATTGGTAAATGATTTCGTCACACAGGCCGGGTTAATCTTTATCCGAACACTGGAACCACGGGCCGGTATATCAGTATGCTTAAATTTAGCGTAGATCAAAGTTGTATGGGCAAAGCTTTTGTCATTGTTCGTAAGAAGATATTTGGGGGCCCAGGAAGGCATGTTGACGACAACAAGTTACACTTGGCTATAATCAGTTATATGAATGACCTGGAGACAAGTTCTCTATGCAACTAAAAGGCACAAGTTTGCATGATATCAATATATGGGTAAAATAAATCTCGAGATACTTGGCAATAAATGTAAACGAACGATTGAACGATGATGTGCAATACATATTTAAAGAAACAAAAAAGTTTGCGCATTTAATACAATATATTTGTTGCTATTACAATGACAACCGCAAAAGTTTTTCCTGCGCAAAGATGTATTGTGTAATATGACAGGTATTATGTAAGCTTTGTCATCAAATTGCCTTGCACTATATAGTAATAAGCGATGATCTGCTTGCAAGTTTTCAAATTTCTATAATGAGAAATGATTTCTTATACGTCAAAGAATTGATAAGATAGTTGGGCGCATCCCAATCGTAAATACCATTGGTATGTTTGCGCTACACCGGTTACTATTTACTGTAAGCAATATTCCTTGATAAAGTATGGTGAAATATGGTCCAACGCCATTATCCTTCAAAGTAAAACACTACGCCTAATAACAACATCATGGGTCTAGCAATATGCGGAGAGAAAAGAGTTTATACTTTTTTCTCCACTATAAGTATATGACAGGCTAGAGCTTTTAGTCATAATAATAATTGTTATGCTTGGATATATTAAAGTTTGTTTGTTTTTAATAATTGATATGCATTAATTCACATTATTGGGTAGAACGGCCGTAGTTAATCAGATGGCCAAATATATATTTGGCGGCGGCGGCGTAAACCTCGGAAGAACAATTGGCGTACGACTACTTTGGCTGGAAAATAAATGTAAATAGAGAAAGAAACGCTATCATCATAACATAGAAATCAAGTCGCCCATTGCACAATAAACGCCTCGTATGACAGTTGGGCCGGGATTACGTTTCTATGGCTTTGAGCGTTATTAATTAGTATGACAAGGCCGACGTTAATTGTTATAGAAGGAAATGTCTTTGTCGCTTTGGCGTCGTTCATTGATAGTCAAGTATATTATTTGTTTGCTACACCGGCCAACTTGGCATGCACATGCTTGCACTGAATATAGTAAACAGTAGATATTATATCGTCGTCGTTGCAAATGTGAATACAAGCTTGATCCTGCTCAACAAAGAAAGACCTTTTTTGTGGTTTGGCGCTATTGCCATGTTCTTGTACTGTGCCACAGAAGTCGGAAATTTTTTTCTCCATGATGCAATGACCATCACAATAAATGTCATCATGCCGATCACTTTGATTAATACAGGCATGTGCAACGGGAACTCTCAGCATTAATATAACCAAGCATCTCTTTGTAATGTATATACGCTCTGTAATATCTACTGATCGCATACTTTCAGATTATTATTAATAATACACATTTGATGCTAGCTTCATTGATTGAATTCAAATTTTATTTCTTTTTGGGTGACATAATTACGAAATAGCAGTTGGTCAAATAGTGAATGGCATATACTCGGTCTTCTTGTTTTCCGCATTAGCCGTGACTCCAATACCCGAAAGCCCTTGTTTATCATTTTCCTAATTTGATTTTGATCCATAAAATATTGTGTATGGCCCGAGTTTGAAAAAAGACATATAATACGCCTGTTCGCTATAGTATTAGACATCAACATTGACGATGAATAAATTACCTGTGGAGCTTAAAGTGGAACTCGCAAGATACATATCAAATCCTTCCTCTCTTGCGCGATGCTCGCGTGAATGGTACAGCGTAGTAAATTCGACACATACAAAATATAGATGGCTACTCAACAAGTATGGTTGTATTCATGCTTTGTTTCACGCTGTAAGAATTGGTGAACCATTCCTCAACCTCGACGTGGCCGAGCTTGTGCTAAAAAATTCTCGTATCAGCCGGTACCTTGTTCAACGACTCAAACTTGTTTATGGAAAGCACTGTCTGTGGGGTAGCAATATTTCCAACGATGTATACGAACGAATTATTAATTTCAAGAAAGAATACAAAAACGACAACCACAATGACATGCATTTAATCCGTCAAGTGTTAAAAAAAGGAGGAAACGAAGACGATATCAAAACAATAATTGAAGTTTATGGTTTCACACCTTTTCCGCCCAAGCCAACTTTTCGAACATATATATTCGAAAATTCTGCTAAATATGAAGATAATCTTCCCCAAAATGGTTATGCAACGGCCTCTGAATTGAAGATCGTGGCAAAGGCGATAATCGCTTATCCAGATTTGTTGAATATCTGGAGAAAAATTGGTTATCACGAAATAACCAAGGATTTGGAAAACCCTGTTGTGCAACTCACCTTACTAAGTCTTTATTCAACCGAGGTTCCTTCAGCCCAAATAGTCGCTGAAAAATTATGCAATTTGCAATCAATTGGATTTTCACTGACTGACACTCTGGTTGGAAATGCTATCCTTCTATTCAAAGGGCGTTTAGTTGACGTCGGAGAGAGTCTCATTGAAAGTTTTTCAATTGCTCGAAAATTATCCAAGGGAGACATACTTGATATATGCTTGATAGAATTGCTTAATCCGGCAAGAATTCTTGAACAATACGATGCACTGGATTATATCATCAACTCGATTAACGATCCCCAAAAGCAAATTCTCTCTGCATTTGAAAAGTATAAAATTGTCGAAGATGAAAATAACTCACTTACCCAACCTCGCATGTTCCTTAAATACTCACTTGTAGTGTATCGATACATGTTGAGGTTTGGTGCAAAATCTCCAGTTGTTAAATATTTGATGAAAGAAATTGTAATTGTCCATACACAGCTTGCCTATACAGAGGATGCAGACAAATTGAGAGATGCGGATGCCATCTTGGACGAATATTATGCATTCAATGTACCTTTTGAACAATCACTTTTGCCACTTTTTAAAAAATGGACACGTGCAAAACCAATTAGTTATTTGTTTAAAGGATATCTCCCAGCACTATTCGGATCCGAAGTCCAAAATCAATCATTTATGACATTTCAAATTCCAGAAGTAGGCGTACTTACGTCACCCACACAAACGGAAGAGTTGCAGCGACTTTGGTTGGAAGGCATTCAAAAATGTGTTGAATCTGAAGAATTAGTAAATGATGAATTTAAAACGCAGGCAACAGAGTTTTTTTACAGGTTTTATCGGTGAATAAGGTTTTAAGCCTAAAGAAATTGTTTTTTTTTTCTATGTATTCCAAGTGCAATTATTATAAGAGATTTTTATATTCTAAGCGCAGCACATCATCATCATTATTAATGGCTTAAGTAGGTAGTTATGCGGTTCGAAAATATGTTTGATTAACTGTTTGTGTCTAGAAATGTTTGGTTGACTTTACAATTGAACATCATGCCTATTGTTGACCTCGGAAAGTCTCTTTAACTATTTTTATATATTCAATAACAATGTTTCATAGTTGTTCTATCCATGATCACTGTTGTAAATCAGCGTACTAGTACCCGTTGATCTGCCGTGACACAAACCATTGTGATGCATTTATATGTAGGGGTAGCAATGTTCTTATCGGACAGTGAAATGATAATTAAACTGATAACATGGGTTTATGACGAAGAATGTGGTGTTCATTTCGGTTACAACAACAGGAGGTGGGTGGGTTCAAGTAGTTAGTATTATTTAGTATTTATGAAATCATTTATAATACTTTATAAGATATTCGGCCTGCGACTGCGCTCGGAGAAATTAATCCGAACCAAAAAAAAGATCTACATTCTACGGAAAATTTTCTTATTGTCGTACGCTTCTTATTGATCACGCTGGTTATCTTTTTATTTCTGCCTCTTTTATTACAACTTTATATTAAGGTTACATAATCCTTTTAAAATTATCGTCTCAAATTGTTCGAGGTTGCGGTTGCTACAAGTGTATGAAAGAACACAGCCCATCGATAAGTCACAAATAAAAAGCACATCCTAGTCGATCTTATCCAAAGATTGATATTCAGATTTGGCGAATACAGTAGGGGGCGGGGCAAGCCAAATTTCTTGTATCGGTGGTGTTCGGTCAGGCTACAATTGCACTATATGCTCCTTTTAAGTTTTTATACATGAATAATATCAAAAATTTGTATCATTTTTAAGAATTCCTGCTAGACGGGCAACTTTGAAATGAAACATATCGTTACACATTCCATGAAGAAAACACGTCGTATTTGTTTGCCACTAATTGTTTATCCGGATGGTTATAGTACGTATACGCAGATAGTTATCGATGCGTTGCAAATTATTTTGTCTAATAAAAACTCGGGAAGGTATGTTTATGAACAACAAAAGTTTTGTAAGCAATTGTATCGAATAGTCAACGAAGATAGTATTATATTGAAAGCACTAGACTAAACAGTTCAACAACACATAGCAGTATATGGTAAACATTCGGTCTTCAGCCCATGTTAACAAATAAATTAGGTTAATAATATAACAAAGCAACACTCTTAATGAGTAGAAAACTATTAATAATAAAAGAAAAATATGTATTTTGCAATTTGCAGCTATGGTTACTGCGTATTGTCTTGGTTTTTGTAACATAAACAGGACCATAACAGATAACTTACGCGAGACCTGTCCATACAGACTCCCCTTTTTGTTTAACAAATAACACGCATTTAGACAGATCTAGAATTCGATACTGAGAACCAAATACTAAAAAAAAAAACCATCATATCGCAGCTTTTATTGGAAGAGGGTTTGTATAAGAATTTCAAAAAAAAAAACTTTTATGGCGTTATTATTGGACAAGACGGACAATTTAGTCAAACGTCGCCATAATAATCCACCATGCTGTGCAACACCATAAGTCAAATATTTATTCAACATATATGTACTGTATGTAATAACAATAATGAATATTCGGAGTTTTTTCCGTTTACCAAATACCTTTTTACAATGTAAACACTAAACTACTCGCATACAGTACGTTTGACGGTGGTTGCTAATTGAGGTCAAGTTTAAATGGCCATTCTCCTGGGTAAAGGTTTTACATCATTGTATGTATTGATTAGTGAAACAAATTGTGCCACTGAGTTAGTAAGATAATGGCTTAATTCAGCATGTGATAATTCTTTGGGAAAGCTTTTAATCTTAATCGGTGTCAGTTGCCTGCGTTAATATTATATCATAATCGGCCGACTACTTATTTTTCCTACTTTCAAGTGCTACACATTGTTAGCAACACTACAATGTGAAGAATCGTGTATAAATAGGATATGGGAATCGAAATATAACCATTCACTATACTTCCGCAATGAAGATACCTATAGAAATCAGAACAGAAATTGCAAGTTACGTGCCAAATCCTTTTTTTCTTGGGCGCTGCTCGCACGATTGGTACAGTATCGTGAATTTCCCATATACCAAATATAAATGGCTTCTCAATAAATATGGCCGCATTCATGCATTGTTTCACGCTGTGAGAATTGGAGAACCCTTCCTCAATCTTGAGTTGACTGAGTTTATACTAAAGAATACTCATATAAGTCGATACTTTATTCAACGACTCAGACTTGGTTATGGCAAACATGGTTTGTGGGGTAGTAATATTTCCGACGATGTATACGAGCGTATTCTTAATTATAAGGAGAAATATGCAAGCAGCAGCTGTGATGACATGCAGTCAATCCGTCAAGTATTAGAAGGAATGGGAAGCGAAGACGACATCAAACCGATAATTGAAATATATGGCTTCACACCTTTTCCGCTTAGTCCAACTTTCCGAACATATATATTCGAAAATTCTGATAATCTGCATTCAAACGGGATCGTGGCCAAGGCAATAATCACTTATCCAAATTTGCTGAACGCCTGGAGGAGGATAGGCTACTACGAAGTAACCACGGACTTGGAAAACCCTGTTTTGCAACTTACCCTATTAGATCTTTACTCTATAAGTGTTCCTTCAGCTCAAGTGGTTTCTGAAAAACTACACAATTTACAATTAATTGGATTTCAATTGACTGATACTTTGTTGGGAAATGCTATGCTTCTATTCAAACGGAGGCTTGTCGATGTCGGAGAGAGTCTTATTGAGGGTTTTTCTATTGCTCGGAAAATGTCCAAGACGGATATACTTGATATATGCTTGATAGAATTGCTTGATCCGACAAGAAATCTTGAATACGTTGATGCGCTTGATTATATAATCAAATCCGTTAACGATCCCGAAAAGCAAATTCTCTCTGCATTTGAAAAGCACAGAATTGTCGAAGACGAAAATGACCCAATGCCTTTCCAATCTCACACGTCTTTGAAATACTCACTTGTAGTATATCGATACATGTTAAGATTTGGTGCAGCAAAGTCTCCGGTTGTTAGATATTTGATGAAAGAAATTATTATTGCGCATACGCAGATCACCAATACAGAAGAACTAGGAGATGCAGATACTATCTTGGACGAATACTATGCTGCAAATGTACCTTTTGAACATTCGCTTTTGCCACTCTTCAAAAAGTGTCCGCGCGCAAAACCAATTATTTATTTATTTAAAGGATATCTGGCAAAGCTGTTCGAATTTGAAGTCCGAGAGTACCCATATTTGACATTCGAAATTCCAGATGTAGATGTACTTACATCACCCGCGCAAACGAAAGAGCTGCAGCAACTTTGGCTAAAGGACATTCAAAAATGCATTAAATTCGAAGAGTTAGTAAATGACGAATTTAAAAAGCAAATTATAGGGTTTTTTACCATTTATAATTTAACGCACAGCAGTTTTGACTATTATTATGATAATTTTGGTAGATAGAGTTTCGAGACTAAATTAAGAGTCTTATTTATTTTCTATGCATTTTAAGTGTTTTATGGGAATATTTCACGTATATATTCTAAGTGCAACCCATTGTTGTTACTAAAGACAAACAAGTAGGTAATTATGCAGAAAAATATGTTTGGTTAATAACTTTACAAACGTTAAAAATATGTGCTTTTTAGTGTCTCTTTATTTGCGCTAACTTTTTTAAATTCAGTGATTAACGGGTTTTACAACTGCCTGATATAGACGTATACTAACAGAAAAGCAATGCTGACTCAGCCATGATGAAACGCAACCGCACAAATGCATTGATAAATGCCAATTCCGGAATATTAAAATAAAGTTCTATAGATATGCTAATAATATATTGATAAATTGGTTTAATTTTCAGTAACTTATGCAGTGTTTTCACCTCTTCAAAGCTGAGTTTAGCATACAAGCCTTTATTTATATTAGCTTTATCGATAATAATCGGGCAATAGCATGATGCTTGAGAGCCTTTTTTATTGGATTACCAAATATGTGACATGCTGTGCGCATGCATGCGGAAAGTAAATTCGGATAAATATATAATATATTATATGAAGTAATATAAATATATATTACAATCTATACCAACAATCCACTATAATAAAAACAATTATTGTATTCGGAGTTTCAATCTATCGCTCAAACAAAGAAATTACAATAATCAATGGACATGCTTAACATCCAAACTAACCATTATTACATACAGTTCACATTGTCAACCGCTTATTGATGTTACGTAATATAGAATTGTTTCAACTTTTGATAATTAATAAGCATAATAATAATAATAATAAGGTCAATGTTTGTTTATTTCCCCTTTTTCAGAAATGACAACGGTTTAGAAACAGTACGGGTAAATCTATTTTTATCAAATCACATCAGTGATTAGCAGCACATGGCAGATGTTTAATGTTTGCGTAACAACGCACGTGCGCATTAGTTACACTAACTAATTAGATAACCAAACAATAACTGATAGTTACAATTAGTAATCAACTAAAACTTGCCAAGTACAAGTCTACGGTTTCTTTCTGTAAATTAAACCATTTTTATTCTATTTATATTCAACAAAAAATAGTCGGCTGATGCACGTTAAGATGCTATTGCTAAAAATAGCGCTGTGTTCGAAAGTTACTGATCGACATTATTTCGAGCCTTCGAAGTGGGAAAGGCAATTTTCGAATATACTGTACATGACAAAGCAAGGTATCAAAGTTGTCACTTTGGTACAAGGATACTAAGTTTTGATGAAAACAATAGTTTAGAACACTGATGCTGTGTAACACAATAAATATAGCTAACCACGTAGAACGATGATTCTAACACATTAGTTCCACTGTTTTACTCCCAGCAATTTAAAACTCCTTTTTGTTACTATTCATTACATAATGATGTAACAGATATATCGTGGAAGCCACATTGAATTGCTGATTACTCATCAATGGTTTCCTGTTGTGACTATCATTCATTGAATGAGCGCCGGTCTCAAACTTGGCATGCAATGTTATGCTATCTACTATCTATTGTTTGCTAAAAATGAATTACAGAATCGTATCAGTATAAAACCATTCGAACTATCACTGTTTTGAACATCGAAATTTCACCATACGCTGGACATCCTACAAAAGATGAATACATTGCCTGTGGAACTTAAAGTAAAAATTGCCAGTCATGTAGAAAACCCTACCTCTCTTGCGCGATGCTCGCGTGAATGGTACAGCGTAGTAAATTCGACACATACAAAATATAGATGGCTACTCAACAAGTATGGTTGTATTCATGCTTTGTTTCACGCTGTAAGAATTGGTGAACCATTCCTCAACCTCGACGTGGCCGAGCTTGTGCTAAAAAATTCTCGTATCAGCCGGTACCTTGTTCAACGACTCAAACT